CTTCAGTTCTTTTTTTTTTTTTCCCCAGTTTTTTCAGTTCTTCAGTTCTTTCAGCCAAGCATGTTCTTCCCTTTTGGTTTTCTAACCCCAGGTGTTTGCACATTTCATTATAATAATTGACTTCGTCTTCTCAAGCTGCTCTTTGAAATGTTCTGTTCAGCTTTTTTGTTTGTTTGTTTTCATTCTTCTGTCCAGCTCTTTTATCTTTTCATTTCTTCCATTTGCTTTAACTACTCTCTGTTCAAGGGCAAGTTTCAGAGTCTCTTCTGATATCCATTTTGGTCTTCCTTTCCTGTCATTTTAACAGTCTTTGGCTTTCTTCATTTATGATGTTCTTGATGTCATCTCACAACTCATCTGGTTTTCAGTCATTGGTGTTCAATGTGTCAAATCTATTCTTCAGATGGTCTCTAAATTTAGATGGGCTATAATCAAGGTCATATTTTTGCTCTCATGGACTTGTTTTAATTGACTTCAACTTCAATCTGAACCTGCATGTGTGCAACTGATGGTCTGTTCCACAGTGAGCTCCTGGCCTTGTTTTGGCTGAAGATATTGAGCTTCTCCATAGCCTCTTTCCATAGATGCAGTCGACCTGATACCAATGTATTCTATCTAGTGAGGTTTACATGTATAGCTGCTGTTCATGTTGTTGAAAAAGGTATTTGTAATGAATAAGCTGTTGGTCTTGCAAAATTCTATCACGCTATTGGCATCATTTCTATCACCGAGGCCATATTTCTCAACCACCAGTGATTCTTCTTTGTTTCCAACTTTTGTATTCCAATCATCAGTAATAATTGATACATCTTGATTGCATGTTTGGTCAGTTTCAGACTGCAGAAGTTGGTAAAAATCTTCAGTTTCCTCATCATTGGTTTTAGTGATTGGTATGTAAATTTGAATAATAGTAGTATTAACTGGTCTTCCTTGTAGGCATATTGATATTATACTCTTCCTGATAGCATTGTACTTCAGGACAGATCTTGAAATGTTCTTTTTGACTATGCATGTGATGCCATTCCTCTTCAATTTGTCATTCCCAGCATAGTAGATCATATGATTGTCTGCTTCAAAATAGCCAATACCAGTCCATTTCAGCTCATTAATGCCTAGGATATCAATCTTTATGCGTTCTATTTTATCTTTGACAACTTCCAGTTTTCCTAGATTCATACTTTGTACATTCCATGTTCAAATTATTAATGAATATTTGCAGCTGTTTCTTCCCATTTCCAGTCATGCCCCATCAGCAAATGAAGGTCCTGGAAGCTTCACTCCATCCATATCATTAAGGTCGACTCTACTTTGAGGAGGTATCTCTTCCCTAGTCATATTTTGAATTCCTTCCAACCTGATGGGCTCATCACTGGCACTATATCAGACAATGTTTAAGAGCTATTAATAGTTTTCTAATAAGATATCAGACAGTGTTTCACTGCTATTCATAAGGTTTTCACTGGCCATTTCTTTGAGAAGTGGATGGCCCCATACTTTTTCCCAGTTTGTCTTAGTATGGAAACTCTGCCTGTCCATCATGGGTGACCCTGCTGTTATTTGAAATACTGGTGGCATAGCCACCAGCCTCCCAGCAACTTGCAAGCCACCACAGTATGATAAACTGACGAATGGTGGCCTCTCAACTTAGGGAACTCCTATTCATCTCACAAATCCCAGCTTGAATACTACCTCCTTAGAGAACACAATCCTTCATTTATCCCAAGCCACTAACCACTGCTAACAAGTTGATTCCAACTCATAGTGACCCTATAGGACACAGTAGAACTGCCCCATAGGATTTCCAAGTCTGTAAATCTTTTTACGGACCCTGAGTGCCCCATCTTTTTCCCACAGAGTGGCTGGTGGGTTTGAACCACCAACTTTTTGGTTAACAACCCAATGCTTTTAAGCATAGTGCCACCAGAGCACCTCTTTCATTTCTCCAGAAAGTCTAAATCCTACCCACCTATGTAACCCTGCAGCCCTGCATTTATACCATTATTTTAGTGCTTGTCACAATAGATTGAAGTCACCTATACATATTTGTCTTCTGACTGGACTCTACCTCTACAGGTGCAAGAATCATGTTTTATATTTTATCCCGACATCTAACCACAGATTCTACTACATAGTAAGTGCTCAATGAATATTTGTGCTATGTTACAGGATTTCACCATCAATCCTCTTTGTGTGTATTGCCAGATGCCTTTGGTACCCTGGCATTTTTCTTCAGTTAGACAACAGGAAGCAGAGAAAACCAGAAGAGAGGGAAGCCTGGGGCCCTCTCCTTTATCCTTGGTCATAATTGTCCAACTTCAAAATAAAGTGTGTAATACCCCTAGTTATGTGCCTTATCATACTATCAAAGGTTGTTTGATGTCAGTTTAAATGGAAAAAAGAAAATAGTAATTGAGGAAGAAGTAACTCATTATACCATTAGTAGTTGATAAAGAACACCAACACAAGGGAGACAGTCGAGACTCAGATCACCCGCATCAACTTCTGAATGGCACTGTGCATAACACATACCTGAAACCAAACCCATTGTTGTTGACTCCAGCTCATAGTGACCTTATGGAACAGAGTGGAACTGCCCCATAGGGTTTCCAAGGCTGTAAATCTTTATGTGGAAGAAGACTACTACTTCTTTCTTCCACAGAGTGACTGGCGGGTTCAAACCACTGGCTTTTTGGTTAGCAGCTGAGCGCTTTAACCACTGTACCACCAGGGCTCATTTTATGGCATACAAAAAACTGAAAAACCAAACCCACTGCCATCAAATCAATTCCGACCCATAGTGACACCCTTTGGGTTTCCAAGGCTGTAAATCTTTATGGAAGTAGATTGCCTCATCTTCCTTCTGTAGAGCAGCTGGTGGGTTTGAACTGCTGACCTTCTGGTGCACAGCCAAATGCCTTACCCCCTATGCCACCAGAGCTCCTTTTTCTGGCATGTAAAGGACACATTTTTAGATTTTAAACAATACCTCACATCTGAGCTTCTGGGCTAAGTTTACACTGAGAACAATGAAAACCATGAAGAAACAAAAATAAAGTTTTAACCCAGATCTAAATTGTTCTAATCTTAAAGTACTTACCAAAATTCAAAGCAAACTCACTGCTGTCGAGTCGATTCAACTCATAGCATCCTCTCCTTGGGTTTCCAAGGTGGTATCTCTATGGAAGTAGATTGCTCAGTCTTCCTTCCGAGTAGTGGCTGGTGGGCTTGAACCGTCAGCCTTCTGGTTAAGGGAGTGGTAAATTACTTATCAGGAGCTCTGGGAGCATAGTGCCTAAGGCACTTGACTGCTAACCAGAAGTCTGGAGGTTCAAACCCACCAGCCACTCCTTGGAAGGAAGATGGGGCAATCTATTTCCGTAGTGACACTGCCTCGGAAACCCAAGGAGGGGTCGCTATGAGTCAGGTCCGACTCAATGGCACATAACAACAACAACAAATTACTTATCAGTCTGGCTGGGGGGGTGGGGGATTAGACAATAAAAGGATGAAGCATAAATTTAATAAAAGATTAAAATTAGGAAAATTGAAAATGCATGAAATTCCACTGAAATCAGCTAGAGACTTGGAGACCTGTTCTGCTTAAATCAGTTTAACATAATGCAATACAAATTAAATACATTGTTCATAAAATGGATCCAGAATGTCCCAGTTGATTGTATAAAAGGATACAAAATGGACTTTCTGTAGCGGTCTCAGAGCTCTGGTGGTGTGGTGCCTAAGGCATTTGATTGCTAACCAGAAGACTGGCAGTTCAAACCCACCAGCCACTCCTCAGAAGGAATGTTGGGCAATCTACTTCCACAGTAGGTTTCCGCCTTGGAAACCCAAGGAGGGGTCGCTGTGAGTCAGCTCCGACTTGACGGCAGTGAGTTTGGTTTTTTGGTGGTCTCTATCGGTTCAAACCCACCAGCCACTCCTCAGAAGGAAGGTTGGGCAATCCTACTTCTGTAGTGATACTGCCTCGGAAACCCAAGGAGGGGTCGCTATGAGTCGGGGCCGACTCGACGGCACACAACAACAACAACAACATCATCCAAAAAGATTTTTACAAATCCTATTATTTTCCTAATTAAATAGCCCAAACTTCAAGCAATTCAATTTTCATTTTAAGGAGAGTAATTTCCCAACTGACAGTAGGAACAGGTGCAATTATATTCACAGCTTTCAAGCCATTGGGATTTTTACATCTGGATGCCAGAGCTAATCTGGAGGCGTTTTCTTTCTTTTCTATCAGTCCTCCCTGATAGAAGCAGTTTAAAGGCTCTCGGTCTATTTTGTAACTCATTAGTTTTTGGCATCCTCTGTAGCATATTGGCCAATATGATTCATTCTTTGAGCACAATTAGCTGTGAAAACAGATCTTAGACTAGGCACCCGCAACCCCCAGAGGATTACTGAAGGTAGGAAATGCAGGTGATTATCAGTTTGCCTTTGATACAGACATCCTGCTCTCCTGCTACCCTTTGAACTAACTTTGATATGCAATAATTAAGAGGGATTCAACCCCTGGAGGAGAAGCCACTATGGCCCTGCCTCTTCTCGTCATCTATTGAGCCCTTGTTTTGAACTATTGATCAAACAGATTTGAAGGGATTTGTTGAAGCCTGTGTGGGCTAAGACGGAAGGAAATGAGGGGGGAGCAAGGTGGATAGAAATGAGGGGCCATGTCTGGCTATAAATAGTTTCAGAAGAAACCTGCCGGTCAGATCTCATTCATCTCATTCTACATATTTTGCTCAGACTAAGATTTGCTTCTCTTTCAAGAAGAAAGCATTTACAGACTTGCTAAGTTTCTATCTCAGTAAAAATCCTATTCAGGGGACACATACAGTTCTGAGAACCTCGAGGAGACGGGGCGACTGAAGGATGTTGGTAGTGATCCTGCTGGGGCTTGGCTGGTTCTGCTCTCCCCTAGGAGCGCTCGTCTTGGACTTCAACAACATCAAGAGCTCTGCTGACGGGCAAGGGGCTCGGAAGGTAAAGCATTGCTAGGGAAGAGACAGTGCTCTGGGGGCTGATGACAGCATGATGGATGTTGTGTTAAGTAAATCATTCAAACTAATGTATAAAATATCTAGAGGGTAATTTGGATTGATTTAGGAATTGGGAAGCCACCCTGATAGGTTCTGGTTGCCTTAGCATTACCACATTACTAAAGCTTTTCAGGGCATTCAACTGTAAATTCGCCATTGTCAGGATGTAAACTAACATTTAAAAAGTTATACCATGTGCTAAGTCTTCTGTATATTATATCTGATCTAACCCTTCATCGTAACTTGAGGTAGGTATCACACCTCCTAATTGCAAATGAATATAAGACTCAGATGTTAAGGAATTTACCCAAGGCCACACAGCCAATAAATAAGGGAGTTAGAATTTAAATGCAGGGTGTCATGGTGCATTCTCATGGCCATTGTTTAATGTCTCAGAAGGGCTTTGAGTATCATTATCCTTGGTGGTATCAAGCATTACTAAAAATAAAAGGCCAGTTCGCTTGTGTAAGGCTCATAGAGGTGCTACTTGGCAGATGGATGCAGAGACTGATATAATTCACTGGAGTAAACAAAGAGAAATGCCACAAATACCATTGTACTTAGTTCAACTGTAGCACAGCTTCTAGAATTGATAGATATGTACTGAAAATCTCACAGATGTAAGGCACATAAAGGGAAACATCTCCTTCTACTGTCACACAAATAGCATGGGAAAAGAAAATTTGGACAATTTTCAAACACAAATAACGTTTTCAGCACCTGGGTCTCTTCATTGGTGATTTGTTCTCCCCTTTGTGGGAGAAAACCAATTACAATGACAAATGAAGATGCTGACGAACGTCTGTCACAGCACTCACAGTGTCACTATGATTTGGCTTCCTCCACCTCCCTTCACAGGGCTCACAGTGCTTGTCTGACAAGGACTGCTATACCAGGAAATTCTGCCTCAAGCCCCACGATGAGAAACCCTTCTGTACTACCTGTCGAGGATTACGGAGGAGATGTCAACGTAATGCCATGTGCTGCCCAGGAATGCTCTGCATAAATGGTAAGCAATCAAAAACCCATTACAGAACTGCTTCGATTCTCTGAACAGTGCTTTTTAAAGTGAAGACAGATAGTATCTGAATCTCACTGATATGAGTATTCCAAGATAGGCATTCTCTCTAAAGATTGATTGGGTTCATGCTTAAAGTAAATTTATACAGCTGCCTTTTCTTGATGCAAAAAACTAACTTATTCCCAGCAACTACTCTTGCCAGCAACTTGGGGATAGTTTTTAAAGGATTCATGTTAGAATCTTTTGAATTATTCCATTTTCACTTGGACTCCATTACTTACTTAACTACTTTGCCATATGTATGTAAATATTTAGCGCATATGTCTTAGCAATCTAGAAAGTTATATAGAAACTGAAGGCGGAAGTGCTGTCAATCTATGTCACAGTATCATAAGTAACACAGTATTTGTGTTCCAAATCCTTGAAGTAAATAATTCTAATTATACACGTTTGTCCCTCAGATGTCTGTACTACAATGGAAGATGTAACCCCAACATTAGAAAAACATATTGATGACCAAGATGACACAGACACAAGAGGAACAACTGAGCATCCAATTCAAGAAAACAAACATAAGAGGAAGCCAAATACTAAGAGATCACAAGGCAGTAAGGGTAAGAGCAGCACTCTGAGCATATTTTATAAGAGGAAAAAACATTTTTTCCTCCTAGACTCTTAAGGATAGGCCAAAACTGACTTTATTCCTCTCCACATAGAAACATGTAGGGAAATGTCCCCATAAGAAGCTACAGAGATCATGAAGGGACGTGTATAAGACAGTCAACAGGATGAGAAGACAGGAAAAGAGCCGAAATAATTGGCTGATTAGCAAGAAAACCTTTAGTTCAATTTTACACACGCACATTTGCCTACACCTTTCTAGTCTATAATTTAACAAATGGCAATTTAATTTCCTAATATCCTCAGGATACAAAAGAAAAGAGATGTAAGTAGATGTGTTTTCATCCCTATACAAAACACAGATTTTACTAAGATGAGGTTTTTCACAAAATTGTAGTCCCAAATTCCAATAGTTGACATAAAGATTGTTTGAAGTTGATTAACCGGCCCTTTTATAAGTAATGGTCTCATTTTATCAATATAAACCATATTTAAAAAAAGATATTGCTGTGTGAAACTATTTTTCAAGACTGGAAATCCCAACATCTTTCTTTAATAAATGTTTTAACTTTATAAACAGAATAGTCAGGTAGGACTGGAATTTCCTATCGTTAATGCTTTAGGTATTGAGACTGGTCTATCGAGCCCTGCCCTTCTTTGTGTAACAAACCAACCTCCCCCCACCCCTGTGCCACCTTCCCCCATTTCTCTAAAGTCCATATTAATCTCCTTTTACAGGACAAGAGGGAGAAAGCTGCCTTAGAACTTTTGACTGTGCACCTGGACTTTGCTGTGCTCGTCATTTTTGGACTAAAATTTGTAAACCAGTCCTACTGGAGGGACAGGTCTGTTCTAGAAGAAGTCATAAAGATACAGCTCAAGCTCCAGAAATCTTCCAGCGTTGTGACTGTGGTCCTGGATTATTATGTCGAAACCCAGTTACTGCCAATCGACAACACACACGGTTGAGAGTATGCCAAAAAGTCTAAAAAGCTGCAAATATTTCAAAAACAAGGAAGAATCCTTATTTGTATTCAAGCAATCTCAGGCATTAACTTAAAAATCCTTTCATATAAATCTCTCTTAAAATAAGATCTTGTAGCAGCTGAAATAGACTAATCTAGCTAGAGAATTCCAAAATACTGCCTTGTGATGAATGGAAAATAGATTTGGCTCTTTGTCTATTTCTCCAGAAAACTGAGGTGAAACAACAACAACAACAACAACAAAAATTAATTTTGATCTAGTGATTCAATTAGCTTCAAATAAATCTTTTAAGTAATTTCTGGTGCAAGATTAGTACCAGACAACAGCCTGGGGAAAAAAGTGATAGTATCTGAAATGAAAAGTAAATGCATGCATGCACCTTACCAGTGAAAATCATTACACCAAGTTTTTCCTTAAGAACTTCATTATTTTCCTTCCTTTCTTGTAAGAGACATGCCATTTCATGACAAAATAATTTGTCAATAGAGAAATAAAATACAAAAGATATTAACACTTTATATTTGTATAGGCCTTTACAAGTTATAAAGCATTTTCACATATTGTTTTCAACACTTCACTTACCATTTGATTATTTTTTACATTTTGTATTTATATAAAAAGATTTTTTATATTTATTTAGAGGGCTTTTAAGGAACTACTTACATATTTTGACCATCTGTACTTAAATATTATGTTGGAGAAAAACTCAGGCAAAAAAAGTCTTTTTGTTTGTTTGAAATTTCAGAGGCCATATTTTGTGATGAGTGCCTATCAGAAATGGCTCTGCTCAGGAAGCCCTAATGGATTACAACCAAGTGCTACATATTTAATCTAAGAGCTAAGCCACATACTTTTTTATTTAAGTTATATGTTAAAAAATCAAATATGAGCCAACAAAAGAAAAAAATTAAATTTATGAAGGTCCCTAATTTCTAAAAATATATTGAATCATCTCTTAGAGAACAGTTTCTGGGTGTGCATTAACTGACTAATCTGTAATTAGTAAGTGGGAGGAAAAGTAGTGAGGAAATGTAGTTTATTGCATCAAGGACAGAAAATGAGAAGAAAATAGAAGTTCCCACTGAAAGACTTGTTTTCAGCTCATTTCTTATTTATCTCTACTACACCATAGAATAGTATGATCATGAACATAATTTGCATGTTTAAACTGAAGATATCTGCTAATAAAATAACAACAACTTCATTTGATAGCTGAACAAGAGACTTTATTGACTACCACAAAGGCTATAGCATGAAGAAGAAACAATCATTTAAAAAGACCAAAGACCCTTACATAGCAAAGGTTAGGGAATAAATGAAGACTCCTGCTGGGCTGTTTCTGGGAGGGAGGACAGGCCTCATTCACTTCGGTCCTTGGGTTCTCGGTATCTCCACTGGATATAGTCAAAGATGTCTCTCTCACTATCCACTGGCAGGGGTTCTCCAGCCACTCCTGAAAGTAGAAAAAGAAAAGAATTATTTTAAGGACCAGTTTTGGCATCTAGTTACAGGAGATTCTGGATTGAGAATTATGTGGGACCTGTTTTGGGAAAGAAAAAGAAAATGGTAACCCAAAAAGAAATGGTAACTAAAAAACCAATCCATCCCCCCACATGAGCATGTGGTTCAGTGCTGTCATGTACACTACCAATGCAACAAAACGCACCTGAGCATCCCAACCAAGGCCACTGAAGTGGCCCTCCTTCATGATGTCCATTCCCACTGGTTCTCCACTGTAGCCATCATGTATTACTCTAAGACATACTAGCTCTCTTGCAACTCAAAATTGGCCCCTGGACTAGCAGCATTGACATCACTTGGAAGCTTACTAGAAATGAAGAATCTTGGGTCTCCATATACAGAATCTAGGGCTCCACTTGAAACTCATTGAATTAGAATCCTCATTTTAATAAAGTCCCAGGCAATCTGTATGTACACTGAAGTATCAGAAGCACTGCCTTGTCTCCTGGGAATGAAAACCCTATTTTATACTTCAAGAACAAAATGATGAAGTCTGCTTTTTTCTAGTAGAGAACTGTAAACTACAAAATATATAGTGAAATGTTAACAAGATTCATAAAGCATTAATTAAGTAATCTTTCTTCTGTAAGTTTTAAAAGCATGGGGGCTCGTGATCTAATTTTGCCTAGCATTAAAAGCAGTGATACCTGGGTTCTTCAGAACTATTAGAAATACATGTGAAAAAGAATAAAATGAAAAACTTTAGATCAATAACATTTTTTGTGGACCATTACAGGTAGAAAGGATTTAATCCATTCTAATAGAGCTAGAAACAAGGGTGCGTTGAGGGACCTTTGAGCCTGGAAGCTGCTCGTGGATTAAAGTCTCACTTTGTTGTCTGAGGAACTTTCCACCACCAGTTGCTATCAAGTCAGTTTTGACTCATGGCAAACTCACGTGTTGCAAAGAACTGTGCTTCATAGGGTTTTCAAGGCTGTGACCTTTTGGAAGCAGATCACCAGGCCTTTCTTCCCAAGAGCCTCTGGGTGGGTTTGAACTGCCAATCTTTCAGTTAGTAGTGAAGTACTTAACTGTGTGTGCTCCCCAGGGACTCCCTGCCTGAGGACTACCAGCACCATTAACTGGTATAGTTACTAGAAAGCTTTTTAGAGAAACGAAAGTTGCTAAACCAAAATATCTCTGAATAATTTTCCAGGTGACCAGCACTGTGTCACTGTCTCTAAGGGAGACATGAATACTTACCAGTGACTCCCAAGGGACGAATTGTGTATTCGTTGATTGTAAAGCCCTTTTCTAGGGCATGAGTTCTCATATTTTTATTGAAAATATCACTCCCAGTAAAATACAGCACACCACAGTAATACTGATCCTTGGGTATCAACCTTAAAAAAAAAAAAAAAAAAAAAAGATAATTCTTTTAACACAATTTTCAAATTTGGTAAAAATAGGAATCCTAAAATCAACATGGCAGAAGATACCTAAAATAAGTCCATGTGGTCTAAAAACCTGAGCAGCAAAGTATCATTAGGTAGACCATTAAAACCACCCCACCCTTGCAGTGAGTTTAGGATTCAGTAAATTATGCTCTGAAAGAATTGTGGAGAAATAAAAAGCAGCATCATATATTACAACTAACTTTCCTTAGGCAGAAAATGACTTTTAAACTGTCGAAGGCATGATGGTAGGATGCAAATATAGAGAAAATGAATTAGAATCTGTAAATAGGCATTGAAGGAGCTCTGGGGACACAGTGCCTAAGGCATCTGACTGCTAACCAGAAGGTTGGGAGTTCAGATCCAGCAGCCACTCTGCAGAAGGATCATCATCCAGCACGTTGGAAACGCAATGGGGGCCACTGTGAGTTGGAATCGACTTGATGGCAGTGGGCTTAGGTTTTCTTGGTTTAAATGGGCATTACTCTTTATATCTTTTCAGAGAAAACACTGTATATAGCAGGAACGTATGGTACTTCAGAATAAAAAGGGGTTCTGAACATTTATGTGAACTTCAAGATATACTGGGGGAGGGGCGGTGAGGAGAAGAGGGAAGCAACAAATTTTGAGTAATACCTGATATCAATTCTTCTGTGTGGATATTCTTTTTCATCATTTTTACTGGGAAGCTGGCAAACACCCTAAAATAGATATTTTAAAGAATGTTTAAAGATATTTTAAAATTTAAGCTTAATTTTAATAAAACGCTAAATGTGCAGCTATTCATACTTATAATAGTGAGTTTTAGAATTCTGAGCTCTTTTAACTTACTAGCCTTTCTATGCACCTTTTGTTACACTTCCTGGTAACTGGAGAACTACCTGAAACAGCAAGGACACAAGGATTCCAGTTACGGGGATTTGGCCTTTCTGTGATTTTTAAATAAGATGATCAAGAAAAGCATCAAACATGAAAAGACAAGTGACCCTAACACACAGAAAAAAGCAACTCGGAAGAAACAATGGTTTTGCAGGGAGAAGAAAACAAAAAAAAGCTATCAGTAACATTCTCAGATAACAGAAGATACTAAATCCATGACATAAGTTCAGAACAGAAGAAGATTATTCAGGGAAAATATTTAGATCAAAATAAAAAATGTGGCAGAAGTAGAACAGTTTGAAGAAAGCTCTTTCCCAGAAAATTAGAAATGAGAGACAGAGAGATGGAAAACAGAAAATTTCTGAATGTTAAGAAAACTAGAGGATCATTTTCTTTCTTCTCTATGGGTGAATTTTCATTGAACTTCTACAGTTTTCAAACTAAAACTATCAAGGTTTGTAATCTTTTTCCCTTTTCAGAAAAATTGGCAAAAATTCTAAACTGGGCAAAAACCCAGATATATGTAAAAAGAGCTATAAATGTCACCAAATTTCAAATGAAAAGTTTCAACGCCACTTTTTAAGAAAAATTCACAAGTGCTAAAGAGTCGGTACTCAGTTCACTAAATCCATACTTTTTCACTCAGCAAAAGAGAAAAAGGAGCTCTGGTGGTGCAATGGTTAAGTGCTCAGCTACTAATAGAAAGATTTATGGTTCAAACCCACCAGTGGTTCTGCAGGAGAAAACATCTGGTGATCTGCTCCTGTGAAAATGACAGCCTAGGAAACCCATGAGACAGTTCTACTCTGTCCTACAGAGTCACTATGAGTCAGAATCAATTCCACAGCACACAACAATAAAAACAGAAAAGTTAAAATCTAATATAATGAAGCCTGTTTATCTTCAAAATGTAAAATCTACCTTTCTAGCTTAACAAGTTCCAACTCAACTTCCACCTCCAAATGGATCAGAAATGATTTCCATTTGGCATCACTAGGAGGAATTACCTGTGGATATGGCTGTCTGCATGCTGCCGGCAATGATCTTGCTGTTTGTCACAGCAGTAATACGATTTCATCTACTAGCTTTGTTCCTTTCCTCAAGGCTAATTTTATTTCCTGCATTTTTTCTGAAGTGCTAATGTCAAAGAATTTTTCTGTGTTATTATAAATTCTTTGTTAGATTGAGTAGATTAGTTTTGTTTGGCA